AGTTTAGACTATGGCTCACAGAGGTTGCCCTCGCTGGCCCGCATGCGTCTTCCCAAAACAACCGCCTGCTGCAGCATGGCGTTCCATTCCTGGTCAGCGGGACTGGGTGCGGGATCTGTCGGCCGTTGCGAAGTCCGTCGCGAGGCTGCCTGCCATGATCCCTTGCTTGCATGAACTCATGTTGGTGGCGACCACATAATCTATCATGATGCTTACCAGCTTTTTGGTTGTTTTGATATGTCACGCTTATGTCTTCGGCTTTATTGTGGGGTAGTCCCAGCAGCCACCACTGCTCAATTAACCAGCACCAATAATACAATTCTCAAGGATTTCTCACCGGAACCGTCAGCAAACATAAATCAGAACAAAAACGACAAAGCTCAAAAGATAGAATAGACATGGTTTTAAAAAGTCATGTCGGCTGGATTTGGGTCTTTGGAAGTTTCTGAAAATTGTTCCTTTTGGAGTTTCATGGGCGTTGCTGGTTTCGTTGTTTGCCTCTTTTGTGTGTGTGTGTGTTGTTGCTTGTGCTTGTTTAGCATGAATGTTTGTGCTTCTTTGATTTTGTTCGCCTAATTTCTGCGGCTTGACTCAAACGGAAGGTACCGAAACAACTACTTTTGGCAAAGTTCCAGGAGAGCAGGAGCCGGGGTGGGGGGGGGGTGCAAGCTCTGTCCGACGAAGACCATGCTCCTGGGCTGCTGCTAAGGGACTTCAATTAGGTTACCAGAATGGGCAAAAAATTGAATTATCCCTAAACCCTAAAACCTCATCAAAATGCTATCAATAAACCAAAGAGAGAACAATTTGACCAGTAGCATTCGAGGCCAATTCCATTGTCTCAAGTATTTGGTTCCCCTGGCCCGTTTACATACTTTAGTTTGTCCCAACTACAACTGAAGCGATAGAAAAATGTCCTGACATGACAAACATGTGGCTATATGACATTGCATTTTGGGATAAAGTCCCCTAAACCCTAGACCCTTTAAGTCCCATGTCCTTGGACAACTGTATACAAGGCGCAGTTCCAAAGACAACATGGAAGTTTCCGTAAATAGGGGTACCCCA